AAGTCCGGCCCACGGGCCATTTACGGCCCGGGGGTCAGTTTAATACGGCCCTCCAACAGCCCTCCCTGCTCTGTGTAATGTGGCCCTCCCTTCTATGGCAGACAGTCTTCTGCTTGAGAGCAGAGGGCAGTGCGCATGCCTGACTGCGGCACGTTCTCCCTGGTCTGTGTAAATGCGGCTGTCGCACAGCCCTCCCTTCTGTGGCAGACAGTCTTCTGCTTGAGAGCAGTGCGCATGCGTGACTGCGCCGCGCTGGGAGCGACAGAGGGCGGTGACGTCAGGGCCGGGCTTCCAGCGTGAAATGTGTTTCTCTTCCCCTCCCGCCTGCCGAGCAGAGACTTCAGCTCCAGCTACCTTTTTCACCCTTCACATTAGTGCAGGTAAGTTTTTTTTTTTATTTATTTTCAATACATTGTGAAAACTCAGCTGTCAGTTGATCTTAATGTTATGAAATGATAAGTATGTCGTTTGCAATTAACTTGGCATAAAATAATTTATTTGCATTTAATTGTAATGGTTCAAAGAATGTTCGGAAAAATGTTCGGCCCTCCACCATGTTCACTTCATCCAATCTGGCCCTCTTTGAAAAAAGTTTGGACACCCCTGCCCTAGCCCCATGGCGTTACCTTTTTCTGCCAGCCTCTTCTGTTTGGCCTCTTCCTTGGCTTTTGCTTCCCGTTCTTGTTGCGCTATACCAACAAGCTTCCATCGGTTACTGATCTAAGGGAGGAAGGGAAATTAAGGTCAGATTTGGAGTGGAGAGACCATTCAGCAGAGTTAGAAGATGTGTTATCACAATGTGCTGTGTGGTCCTGCACTCGCTTTAGAATCCCAGACATGCATTTATCTATCAGATCAAAAGGTGAAGCCACATGTTAACACTAGACATCTCGGGGGAACCCTCTGCACACTGCTAATGACCCTTTCCAGCAAACATTGCAATAATAATAAAAAAAAAAAAATATAACAAAAAAAAAAAAACGCAGGTTTGGCCACCTGCGTCAAAATAATCCCTCTATGGCCAGTCCTACTCTGCTTTGCCAACGCAAATGCTGTGAATACAATGCCAACCTGGGGCAAACAGACACAAAGTGATGGACAGCTACTAGGTTTAGGTCTGGCTACTGACCTATTATGCAACAAACAAGATATACCTGTGCTCAAATCTCAATAGCTTATACATGCATTTATCTATCAGGTGCTAAAGGGGTATAGCCACATATTAACAGTCAAAATCCAGGAGAAACCCTCCGCACACTGCTAATTACCCCTATCCGGCGAACTAAAAATCCCTATTTTTTATTGCAATGCTTGCTGGAAGGGGTAATTAGCAGTGCGCAGAGGGTTCCTCCGGGATTTCTAGTGCTAACATGTGGCTTCACCTTTTGATCTGATAGATAAATGCATGTACAAGCTATTAAGATTTGAGCACAGGTATATTTTGTTTCTGTCACTTTAAAATACCGATACGTATCAGAAAAACTGTTTCAAGTTGTACCCCAAACACATGTAAGGCTCCATTCACACTTGTGCGACTTGCCAGACAACTTGGACAACAAATTCACGGCCCATTCTTTTCAATGGCACCCGGTCAAATTGGTGCAGCTTAAAGTGGCAGGGACTTTGAAAAGGTGCCTGCACTACTTTGGTGTGACTTATATCCATAGAGTGTAAAGTCGAATTAAAGTCACATCCAAAGTCGCACAGGAAAATCACATGACTCTGGAGATGGCTAGTGTGAACCGAGCCTAAAACATACATAATGCACTGCATACCATATTCTATTAGTTTCCATGCTAGTCATGCACCTCACATCTTTTTAATAGCCCTCTACTTTCCTACAGCTATGTACGTTTTTCCACTTTGTGGCAAACAGATGAATGGCAACACAACATACCATGACCAAACCTATACATTTATTTTGTCCCTTTATTTGTTTTACAGACTTAAAAATTTGGGGGTTTTCTGAGCAAAAATAAATTTTTAGACTTGCTCACCTCAAACATTTTTGTGTTAGGATCCAGCTTAGCAACCTGAGAAGCATGGGCACCTCGGATGTCAGATGGAAGGAACTGAAAGATAAAAGAATTGCTTTTTAAAACAACATTTACTTAGTCTAGGTTCACACCTGTGTGTTTTCTGTTATGTTTTGCAGAAACACACAGAAGTCCATTTAACAAGATTTCCTATGGGATACGTTCACATCTCGGCGTTTTCACCTGGTGCGTTTTTTGGAAAGGGTCAGGGACTTTTTTAACCCACAACGCTGCGTTTTTGGTTCAATAGACTTCAATGGAGACGCTGCAGAAATGCATGTAGTGCCTTTTTGATGCATTTTGCGTTTTGATTTGCCCAGCAACAAGTTGGACACTGACTGACAGCACTGCTGGGCAGCACTGATGGGTGACACTGATGGACACAGGTGGGTGGCACTGATGATCGGTGCCAACCCGTTCACTAACAATTGCCGGGTAATCGGCCGTGCTTTCCTCACGCTGTGACAAGAGTGAGGAAAGTGCAGTCGATAACCGGCAACTGCATTTACCGGTGATCTGCTGTGTCTTTGGATACGGCTGATCATGTGGTAAAAGGCCGCTGTGATTGGCCTTATACCACATCACATGATCAGCTATGTCCGTAGGACACAGCAATCACAGAGATCGCCGGGGGCGTGCTGGAAGTCGCGTTTTGGGAGGAGTCATATGACTCCCTCCCAGAACTGGACAACTGTGCTGTAGTCATCACTCGGCTATAGTGCGGCTGGCAAGCGGTTAAAGAAAAAAACATTCGTGTTTAAGACCACTTTAAAAAGTGACTGGTCCTCTTTATGTTTATACAGATAACTTACCATGCGGAATGGGTTGTCAAAAGACTCCATTATACTTCTGGCCTTCTGCTTTGCTAGCGAGATGCTGCTTACATCATCCATTGTTTCATCAGAATCCTAATGAGGAAAACAGAAGGAATTAGTGTACTTCTGATGTAAAAAAAAAAAACATTACTATGTTACAGTCACAATCAGATTGGCTTCAGAAAAAAAAAAAAAAAAAAAAAAAAAGTGCCTTTTGGAGTGGCCCAGAACTCAGACCTTAACCCCACAGAGATGCTGTGGAATGACCTCAAGAGAACCATTCACACCAGACATCCTACAAATGTGTGAGCCAAAACAGTTTTGCAGACATGAATGGTTAAAAATTCCTCCTAAACATGCAGGTCTGATCCAGGTCTACTGAACCTATTGTGTGATCAGCTTAAAGGGTAAAGTCATGATGTACTAGTATGCACCGCGTACGAACACATTATGACAGACTTACCTGTGAAACAGATTCCTCCAGTGACGCCCTGTCACTGCTGACAGGGAATCCACCTTCACCCGGTCTTCTTCCAGGGTCACTGGCTGCGGCCACTTGAATGAGCATGGGTATAAGGCTACGTTCACACTAGCCTTGTGTGCAGGCGGCAGAGAGGCGTTTGGGAAGCGTTTTTACCGCTTCCCAAACGCCTCTGCCAATTCTGCACATTACAGCACATGGTGCTGTTCTAACAGGAGCATTTGCGCGTCGCGGCAAAACGGACGCCTCTGGTCGAGTCAGGAGGCTTTGAAGCCTCCTATTCTCGTCTATGGTGCCGCTCCGCAAACGCCCGGCCGGCGTTTGCGGTGCGTTTGCGGTTGTGGGGTGTTTGCGGAGCGGTAACACCACTCAAATGCATTATAGGCGTTTGTGGGGCGTTATTAACGCTCGGCAAACGCCTAGCAACTGCCGCTAAAAACCGCGCATGCGGCGTTTGCCGAGCGTTAAAAACGCTCCGCAAACACCGGACCAACGCTTGCCAAACGCTATAGGGGCGTTTGGCAAGTGTTGGCAAAACAGCCTAGTGTGAACGAGCCCTTAGAGTCTCTGTTTACAGCACAGGGCTATGAAGGAAAGGCACTGGTATGTCGTTCTTTCAGTGTGGATGCACCAGTGACGTCACTGGCGGCTACACAGGTGAATACCTCCTAAACGGTGCATGTTTAGTAGACATTTTCGGTACCTACAGGTAAGACTTATTATAGGCTTACCTGTAAGTACTAAGTAATAAAGGGAGTTTATTTAAGCACTTCATTTTTTTTTTTTTTTTTTTTAATTGTTGTAACTTGATGAGGATTTTTTCACATTTTATGACAACTTGCTGCACAAAACCAGTTTATTCCAAGGGGGGGTTCACATACTTTTTTTTTGCCATTTTATCTGTATTATTAGGCTGTATCTGATTACCAGGACTAGCCTAATAGTGTACTGAATTTAAAACTGGGTATGCACTTTACTTTTTTTTTTGTTTTCCAGCAGGTTGAATGAAAAAAAAAGTGATAGACTTCTGCATCACCACAAATGATGTGTGATGTAGGGATCTCTCCTGCAGAGACTCTCCATTCTGACAGGGGGACCTCCCCTCCAAAAATACACTGATCAGTGCTTGAAGTCATTGACTGCGAGTACCGATTGAATGCTAGTTTTCCAGTATGCCCATTCTACAGAAGCCAGCTGTCAGACCGACTTCTGTTGAACAGACAGCTGTAGACATGGACTGAAAGTCATTCGGTTCCTGATAAACTGGCTGATGTCGGTGCACGTGTACATGAGCTTTAAGCTGGTCACTGACCTCACACCTCCCGCCACTGCCAGTAATACTTACACTGAATATAGAGATAGTGGCGTGTGCCAGTACTTGGACAGGGCTGAGCGGTCTTGCAGGGCCTGGCTCCTCATCATTGAACAGGCTGCCGGTTGCTAATGGTACCGCTAGGGAAAGAAATTATACAATTTTAAGGTTTTAAAATTGATGAAGAACAAGTTAGCTTGAGAACAAAAATTTTACAGATGATGTTAGTGGGCACAGATGTGGTCAGATGTCTCACCTGCCCCAGTGTAGGGGTCATGTAGAAATGGAGAATAGGTCGTATCATGTGGCCCGAACAGCTGGTTCTCCATTTTCTGGGTAAGAGAAGGAAAAGGAGGTTACACAGAGTAACTCACTAAATTGTACAAATTGCAAAGGGCTATGAAACTTACCTCAATATTTGGCATGGGACCTTTCTTCTTTGTTGAGCTAATTTTCTGACTGTAACAAAGACAAAAAAAACAGTATCAACCTATCCATATTAACAAGACAAAGACTTGAATGGTCCACGCTGGTCATGGAAACCAAGCATGGTGGCACAATCTAGTGTTACACTATTCTCTGGTGCTTTATGGCCCCAGTGCTCTGATTGGCTACAGAGATGTCTTGAACTGAAAATGTTATGATTCCCTGATTAGCTGCAAATTTGAATAGCACGTGAAGGATGATTCCGATTGCTTAAAGGCCAAGACCACCTTTTAGAAACAGAAAATACAATATTATTTGAAGGAAAGAAATGTGCATTTTTTTTCCATAGCAGCCTGCAAAGGTTTCCACATGTGATCAGTGGAGTGCAGGTGCAATGTCAGGCTCCTGGGCACTTCTCCTCCAGCTCCCATATAGAGGTGCAGGCTTTCAGTCGGAGAGGTGGAAATAGTGTATATAGACTACGAGTGTGGTGATTATTGCACTTGTGTTCTATGAAGTATGACGTGTGCACCTAGCATGGTGGCAGATCTCTGTGAATGAGTGGCGCAGCAGTGCTGCTTGGGGGTGGGGGGGTACATTTGCACCATGTTACACCTTAGCCCCTTGATCCCAACGTAACACAAATATGTGGCCTCACAGAACTGGGCTCTTTTCCGTGGGGTCGCATATTTGCGCACCTGTATTTCTGCTGGGAGTGCGCCGCACGGCGCGCTCCCAGCACAAAGACCGCGGTGTCACTAAGAGCATCGGGTTCCGTTATAACGATCGGGACCCGGGACTCCCAATTTCGGGTCACATGATTGCTGTGATAGCCTCTGATTGGCTATCACAGTGATCAGTCACTGTACAGCCCGGCCCCCTTGTTTGTTTTTTTTTTTTTTCTCTCTATGAATGGAAGAGAGAGATACATTATCTCTCTACCTCCTGGCATAGATGGAAAAAAAGCTTGTAAAAAAAAAAAAAGAAAAAAAAAGATAAATATTAAAAAATAAAACAAAAATAAGAAAAAAAATATCTAGATCAAGGTTTGATCTAGTTCAGTGCCAGGGCAAGTGTTTGGGTCATAGGTCAGGATTTAAAAAAAAATAAATAAAAAATTGGTGTCAGTGTGTTTTAGGTAAAAAAAAAAAAAACAAAACAAAATGTGCACTATTGTTTCTGGGCTGTGCTACGAGTACAAACAACAAATAACATACACATATATGGTATCGCTGCAATCGTCAAGAGCTGGAGAATTTATGTGTTGTTTGGTGGTAGGCTATAATAGTAACAAGAAACACATAGCTAAATAAAAAACTTTTTATTTTTTTACTATTTTAGGCCAGTTTTCCTTTGACATTAGAAAAAAAATCAGGAGATATCCATTACCATTTACCACCAAATGAAAGCCCAATTTGTCCTGAAAAAAACACGGTATAATTCACCTGGATGTACAAAGTAGTTGTGATGATATGTACAGTTTTACTAACACATGTCAACGTTGCAAAATTGTGCTTAGGCATTTAGATTTGTTTTACCCTTAGGTGTGAAGGGGTTAAATACAGGTGTAACATTGTGCAAAAGGTGGCGTTAGCCTAAATGTCCAAGAAATCTACAGGTCTGGTCATGATCAAGGCTAGCCTCATCCAGTAACAGTTCATTATATTAAAACATTCAAATAATTGCTCTGTACCTTCAGTAGCGGGACCTCTCTGGCTTCCTGAACAAGCAGTATTAATTCATTAATTTGTTGTCTCACAAGAGGTGGCACTGGGTTACAGCAAGCGATGATGCCCTGTGGCTCCCTACACACACAAAAAAAGACAACAGATTTCAAAAACAGATTTCACAGAAAAACAGTCCAAAATGCACTTTAATACAGTCAGTTAACCGAGTTGTTGGTTATATCCCTTGACGTGTTATTAAACCCTCAAAGCCAAAGTATATTTTATATTGCTGTTGCATTTTTCCATGCATCCCTGCATCTCACCACAATGTTGCATCCACACTGATGCCTACAGTACTTCCTCCTATAGGGTGATTGTACTGCTAATTGGGGTCTTCTTGGGAGTCCCAGAGTGGTCACCATAATGTGCATTCTCCTGGCCAGGCCATGTACAAGCAGTACTGAACACCTTACACAAAGACACTGCCCTGCATCTCCCAGCAGGCCAGCAAGCTTCCTTTAACCACATCAATACCAGAAACTTTCACCCCCTTCCTGCCCAGGCCAATTTTCAGATTTCAGAGCTGTCACTCTTTGAAAGTAAATTTCAAGACAAGTGAGAGCGCTTAAAACAACTTATAAAATCAATAAGTGAACAAATTAAAACGAGAAAATAGCAGCTGAACACCAAAAAGGTACCATAAAAACCTTCACAATAATCAGAATGCATAAAAGGGAGAGGTGCAGCGCTAACTTGATAAATATACACTTGTATAAACCAATGTTAAGGTGCTGTTAAAGTGCAAAACGGTGACTAAAATAAGTATAGTCCATAACGTGTTCAAAACGTGTTCAAAACCCAAGAGAGTCTTCAAAAAGCTCCAATGCCTGGATTCGTGGATGAGGTGATAAAGGTATAAAGATTGCGCACTCACCAGATACGCAATCCAAATGCGCATTCAAAGCAGATAATCCTAGGGAGCGGCTACAGCGGTGTGACGTCACGCCGACCGGCGCCACGAGGGCCCCGGCGGCCATTTGTTATCTTTGTATGGTCAGTATCTCTCCTGCCTCTGCTTGTATACTGTGTGTCTTGGGAATAAATACCCCTTGCCTATAAGGTATCACACTATTTGGCCTCCTTTGTTCTTTGGGCTCCGGTGGGAGCCCTTTACATCTGCAGAGCGCCCCTTTTTTTTTCTATGCGTGGCAAACACCATCAAGTGACGAGGGGCTTTTGTGACCAGATCTGACCAGATCCATATGAGGACCCTAGGATTATCTGCTTTGAATGCGCATTTGGATTGCGTATCTGGTGAGTGCGCAATCTTTATACCTTTATCACCTCATCCACGAATCCAGGCATTGGAGCTTTTTGAAGACTCTCTTGGGGTTTTGAACACGTTTTGAACACGTTATGGACTATACTTATTTTAGTCACCGTTTTGCACTTTAACAGCACCTTAACATTGGTTTATACAAGTGTATATTTATCAAGTTAGCGCTGCACCTCTCCCTTTTATGCACTCTTTGAAAGACAATTACTTAGTCATGCAAAACTGTACTCAAATAAAATGGTTGTAAAGGCTGAAGGTTTTTTACCTTCACGCATTCTATGCATGAAGGTAAAAAAAAAAAACCTTCTGTATGCAGCAGTGCCCTCAGCCCTCTCAATACTTACCTGAGCCTCATCGCAATCCAGCGATGCGAATGACAGCCTCGGCTCTCCTGGGTCTCTGCCTCCTCATTGGCTGAGATAGAACCTTATGTAATAGAACACTTTTTGCGCTTTTAAATTGTGATGAAATGTATTTTAAGTCTATGAATTATAGGGGATTTAATTAATTAGACTAAGATGTACACCAAAATTGTTATAGCAGTAGCACTTTATTATACATTTTAGGGATTAGCTCACTTAATGTTTTTTTTTGTTGAGTTTGAACATTTTAAAGGATAAAATCACCTTTAAAAAAAATAATAAATGGATATTTTTTGCAGGTAAGAAAATGTGCATTTACCACTTTTTTTTGTAGGAGCCTAAAAAGAATTGCACCCACAATCAGCAGATCAAGGGCTCCTGCAGACTGTCAGTGTACACTGTCTGCTATATCTCGAACTCAGGGAACGGCTGCAGGAGTGGAAACATGCAACATGTTCCCAAAGGTGAATTTATTCTTGAGGGTGGCTGCTCTTAAAAGATTCACAAAATTTAAATATGTAAAAAAAAAAAAAAATTTTTTTTTTGCACAAATAAAAGTATTCCGACAGTTTCGCACTGCCTCACACATTTATAAAGAAAAATGTGCAGTACTATAAGAGAGACTCCCTAAGCAGAATCAGCATGTGCCAAAATGAATAGAAATATAAACAAAGGTTTTTCAAACAAATAAACATAACAAAAATATAGATTGAGCAACATCATACATGAGACTCCCAGAAAAAATAATTTATTCATGCAAAAGGTATAAACAGTCTGTGCAAATATGAAATCCCAATAGAATCTTCCACCATATAGCGGCACAAATGTGTAATATTCAGTATAACCTAGATTGGAGACCATCATCACGCTGGTTTGCACTGTCGGATGAGCCGCTATTACACGAGGTTCACATACTGTATGTGCGGCTCTGCAACACAACAAACACTTTTCTCTTGCGCTAGGAATGGACTCAGTAGACCCAATCGGAATGTTCCGGAATATTCTGGAATATGCACTGCTTGCTGCCCTCTACAGACCGGGGTGGTCCAAATACACTAGATGCAAACGGAGAAACAAAAAAAGGGCGCACCGACCTAATGCATTATCATTTAAAAATATATTTATTGAAGGAGCAAAGGAAGTATCATGTATGATCCAAACAGCATCTGAGTTCATACAATGGATTCCATCGTATGGACTCAGATGCTGTTTGGATCATACATCTTGTTCAGTTTGACATGCCTGTGTTTTTATGTCTATTGTGAGTATGATACTTACTTTGTTCCTTCAATAAATATATTTTTAAACTTTTTATTATCTCTTCTTCCCTCTCCTCTTTGTCGGTGTCTTTTTTATACTCTTGTCTAATATTTCTCGATGTAGCAATTTTTTCTCTCAGAATCTACACTATCATTGACCATCAAAGATTGTTAATTGTATCCTTCCTACCGGGCATTTCTGTAATAAGTTAAAGCTGACGTTTTGGTTTTTTTTATTCCAATGCACGCCTTACATAATTTCTCAATCATACAGTATAGTTTCCTATGTATTGGTCAATGAATCTA